GGCTAAGAATAATCAAACTTTGTCAATTGATGCATCTTAGGTCCTCATTAGAATGCCAACCAAAAAGAAGGTCATGGTGAAACTTTATGGATATATCTAAGTATATCTGGTACTTACTGGCTTAGAATCATCAAACTTTGTCAATTGATGCATCTTGGGTCATGGGAGAACATCAACTAAAAGTTGGTCACCCTGACCTACTTTTGAAATTTTATGGCTATATTTATAAAACTCAAGAACTAATTGGATTTGAATCATCAAATTTTGTCAATTGATGCATCTTGGATCCTTGGAGAACGCCAACCAGAAAGTAGGTCACTGTAAACTTCTTATGAAATTTTGTGGCTATATTTAAATATCTCAGGTCCTTATTGGCTAAGAATCATTAAGCTTTGTCAGTTGATGCATTTTGGGACCTCAGAGTGTGTCAACTAAAAAGTAGGTCACAGTGACCTACTTTTGGAATTGCAAGGAATTGCAAGGCAACATCTAAGTATTTCAAATAATAAGAGTCTTAAAATCATTAAACTTTGTCAGTTGAGGCATTTTTGAGACAAGGAGTATGTTTACCAAAAAGTTTGGAATCTCATAATCTCATGGCTTTATCTGAAGATTTAGGATAATAAGGGGCTTCACACTTCGTCAGTTGATTCATCTTGGGTTTTCAGCATGTTTTAACCAAAATGTAGGTCATGACGACCTACTTTTGGAATTTCAAGGCTTTTTCTTAATATACAGGATACTTAGATGCATCAAATAGAAGTGATAGGTTGTACAATTTATCAGAAGAGCGATTCAAGGCCCTTGGGCTTCTTGTTTCAAGTAAATTATATCATTAAATTAATTTAGTGTTATGTTTACAAAATTACCAAAATCTGCAAATAATTGGAATTATAAATTTTTGAAAGAAATACGGTAAAATATAACATCAAAAAATATTTGAATAACAAATTAATAGAAGTTGCAAATACATGTATTGCAGTCTTCGTGAAAAAAAAAAAATCATCACAGGCAATTTAAAACGTTTCATGGGATTAAACAAATTTTCACCAGTCCAAAACTTTTATCATATAATAATCATCTTTTGTTTCTATATCTTCTAGGTCTATTTCTCTTGCCAATTCACACAGTTTTATCAAATGAGCTTTTCTGTACATGGATGTTGTTATACCTTTCGTACTTAAGTAATGCTTTAACGCTGGGACTTGATAACTATTGAAGTCTTCAATATTTGTTTATATGTTGCGTTGGAATGCATAAGGATGTTAATTAATATCATATGGATTAATTAACAAATAACACACTTTTTCTTCCCTGGTACCGCCTCATCGAAATATTTTAGACCCATCATGGTGGAAGTATGTTTTAAAATAATCATGATTAACTTTAATGGTTTTTATTAAAGTGTTTTGGTAATAGTTAAAGCGTCTATAAGATCAAATAGAAAATATAAATTTTAAAACCCAACCAAATCAAACCTCAGACAAACGGACTGATTTTACCAGTTAGTGCATTGAACCAATTAGATTTTACCTGTTTTGTCTGACGGGCGGGTGCTTTTGAGACTGGTATTTGAATATTGACTTTGGTATTCTGCTCAGCTCCAAAATATGCATTAACATTTTTTCCAGCATATATCATTACTTGAAAAACAAATATTATAAGCTTGGCAAAAAATTTAAAGTCTTAAATGCATCAAGTGTAACACTTTGTTTTTTATTCTTTGCTAGGCAAATGCAATGAAAAAAGTAAAGGAATGGTCCTCTTCCAAAATTGTGATTTTCAAGGCCCCTAGGTCAGGGGTTCTGGTGTCAGGGCAGGGCTCTAATGATTAGATAGTGAAAATGCATTGATTATTTGAAATTATCTCCTCCTCTCTCCTGGATATTAAACCAATGAACTATGTACATACAATGTAGTTGTGATGAGGAAGGGAACTTCTTCCAAAATTGTGATTTTCAAGGCCCTGGGTCAGGGGTTCTGGTGTTTAACATGGCGGGGCTCTAATGATTATATAGTGAAAATACATTAGTTCTCTGAAAATCTTCTCCTTTGCTCCTGGGTATTAAGCCAATAAACTATGTACATAGTTATGATGAGGAAGGGTGCCTGCTCCAAAATTGTGATTTTCAAGGCCCCTGGGTCAGGGGTAATTTTTGGTGTAAGGATGGGGCTCCATTGATTATACAGTGAAAATGCATTAATTCTTTGAAAATCTTCTCCTCTGGTCCATGGTATTTTGCCAATGATCTAATTACATAGTTATGATGAGCAAAGGTACTTCTTTAAGCATAAATTCCTGGGTCAGGTGTTCTGGTGTTAGGCGGGGCTCTAATGATTTATACATTGTATAGTGAAAATGCATTATTTCCTTGAAAATCTTCTCCTCTCCTCCTTGGTATTAAACCAATAAACCATGTACATAGTTATGATAAGGAAGGATGCCTCTTCCAAAATGATGAATTTCATGGCCTCTGGGTCAGGGTTATCATGGGGTGGGAGAGAGAGAGAAAGTTCAAATGATCATGAAAATGAATTTATGCCTTGTAATCTGCTCTTTGGTATAAATCAACCATTTGTGATGAGCAAAGGTGCCTTTTCCAAAATTGTGAAATATGTGGCCCCAGGGTCAGTGGTTCCTGTGGGGTGGGGTACTACTGATTATATTGTGGAAATGCATTTTTGAGGTGCATCGCTATCAGCGATGTAGCCTCATTGCTGATGACCCCCAATTCTTTCTTTCAATTATTGCGGAGACAAAGGACTCCACAATATTGATTCTAAATACGCCATTGAAAATAGTGCAAATGTTTATTGACAAGTTGGTGATATTCATTGTCTATTTTTAAATATCAAATAACATAAAATCTCACATATATTTGTTGTTTTTACTTTGAAAGCAACAAAGACAACAAAAAAAAGAAACAAAAACAAAATCAAAAAGAGATAAAACAACAACAAACAAACGTGCGCTACGCGAAGTAAGATCTCTTTGCATCACAACAACTCGTACTATAAATGATTAGGCCTTGTAAGGCGACATTGCTTGTACGAATATCTGAGAAAAACATATAATAATTTTATTTTATAAAACATCACTAGCAATAGGAACAAGATGGTTGTTTTTATAGAAATAGAAGGGATATTATTATTTTTTCACTCAATGAAACAAATAGTAAGATGTCCAACTGAAAAAAAATTTGCAACAAGCGCCACCTTTCGGGAAAAACATTCCACGAAGGTGACATGAAATGGTGAAATGATCGGTTTTTGGTGAAATGTCGGTTGAATATGATTAAATGACTGATAAAAACTGCAATAACTGTGGATTTCAATTTATAGGATTACTAATACCTTATAAACATAAGACGTTTTGAGTTCAATCCTTACCGCCAAGGTTTTATAACCAATTTTATTGAAAATATATCGGAGCAAATTGGCCACCATTGATGGGTTTCATAGTATACGGTATACCACACCCGATTGTTTTTTGTTTTTTGTTTTTAGTCCTGTATTATTTATATGAACATTTCATGTATTGCACTATGGTTTACGTATTATGCCATTTTTGATTGAGAAAACTAGTCTAAGACAAAGTATTGATATTTAAAAAAGTTCACAAAATGAAAGAAACTAAAAAAAAAAAATCAGATATTAAATTATATAGAATTATCCAATAATCATTCCTTTCTAAATTCTCATTCATTATTTCATCTTCCTACTATGATAATAATGAAAGAATAAAAAAAAAAACAAAACATTTTTTAACCTCAAAGAAACAATATTTTAATTTTTTTTTATTCCTGATTTTCCCTCAACATGTTTGCTGAATTTTTCTGAGAATTTTTTTTTGAGTTTTCTATCTTCAATGTGATGCGTCTCTCAGGCATTAAGGCCTTTGATTTTCTTTGTTCCTCTGATCTGCCTCTGGGTATTAAGAAATCAAAGTAAGCATGCTAAGTGTATTATTAAGTTATGATTAGCAATGATGCCTCTTTCAAAATTGTGATTTTCATGGCCTCTGGTATAAAACACAAACCAAATACAATTGTTGGAAAGTTGTTGCATGGTTTATACTCATTTATAGGGAAAATAGCAGTTGTTCAACTTAGTCATTTTTATGTATAATGTAGCTTTACATCGTTTCTCAGGATAACCACTGTAACAGTTTTTAAAATCAGAAGGTCTTGTTTGTTTTGCAGATGAGGTTATAAACTTTCATTAAAGATGTGCATGGTGCTCTGATTTTGAATTTAGATCATTTTTGGAAAATGAGCAGTTGTTGAACTTCATCATTTTTGATACCAAATATTGCTGGTTTTGGTATGTCAAATGTCTGGATAATCCCATCAACAGTTTTCAAAGTAAGGACTTTGTTGTGCAGAGAAATTGTACATATTTATATAAGAGATATGTTTAGTACATTGATTCATTTGCTTATGGGGTATGCAAATTAGTTGTACATTTGGAAGAGAGTCGATAAGTGTTTGGACTTTGTTTTGGATCATTTATGACAAAAATACTAGTTGTTGGTATTCTTGATTTGTCAACTCTTGCATAAAGGGTTCATTTTATTTGTCCAGATAGCTCCTACATATCTAAACCTAAGGACTTTTTTCCTGAATGTTTTTACATCATTGATATTCATGGCACCTTGGTTTGGTTTTTGGTCATTTATGAAAAAGATACAAACTGTTGAACATGTCAATTAGATGCAAAATATTACTTTTAGGGTACAACATTTCTGCAGATAATACCTCCTTCATTTTTCTGCTTAAAGAAATCCCATGAAAGGGAATATAGGTTTCGAATTGTTCAAGTCTAATAAACATACAATAGAGATGCACATTGCACTTGGAGTTTGATTTTTGGTCATTGATAAGAAAGTACCAGTTGATTAATTTAGCCATTTAATGTCTTATATTACTAACAAGTGTACTTCAAGTTGATTTTTCCAGATAACTCCTTCAACAGTTTTAAAGATATCATTTTTTTTATTTTGTAGATCAAAGAAATGTTCATCAGAGATGAATATGATGCTTCAACTTTGATTTTTGATCATCTATAAAGGTACCAGTTGTTAAAATTATCACATCATTATTATACAAAATATTGCATACTGGGTTCATCATTTATTTGGATAACTTCTCCAACAGTTTTTACTATGAGAAGTTTTTGGTTTGCAGTTCAATAGAACATACATTACGTATTTGTGTAGTACTTGGCTTTAGATTTCTGTTCATTTATGGTTCAAATAGCAGTTATTAAACTTCGGTCATTTTTATGCAAAATATGAGAGAGTACAACATTTGTTTGGATACATCTTGCTAAATTGTTGAAAATAAGAAATTAACATTTTGCAGGTAAATTGTACATTACATATATTAAGGGTCTACTGAATAATTTTGAATTCTGATGCTTGATGGGGGAAAATAGCAGAGGTTGAACATGTTCTATCTTCCAGAGTACTCCTACAATTGGGGATCAATTATCTATCCCTGAAAAATGAACTTGGTACCTAAATTTTGATTTTTGATCATTTAGGAGAGGTATATTAGCAGATGAACTGGGTGAATTGTATGCAAAGTATTGATTACAGTGCTCATCATCTATCCAGTTCTCCTTTCTTGTAGTATTCAGGATAAAGACTTTTTTTGCAGGTTAATTGTACATACAATGATATACAAGATGGTTGAGTTTTGATTTCAGATCATTTATAGGGAAAATAGCAGTTGTTGAACTTAGTCATTTGTATGTATAATGTAGCTTTTACATCGTTTTTAGCTCACCTGAGCCGAAGGCTCAAGTGAGCTTTTCTGATCACATTTTGTCCGTCGACCGTCCGTCCGTCTGTCCGTCTGTCCGTCCGTCTGTAAACTTTTCACATTTTTGACTTCTTCTCAAGAACCACTGGGCCAATTTTGACCATACTTGGTACAAAGCATCCTTGGGTGAAGGGGAATTTAAATTGTTAAAATGAAGGGCCAAGTCCCCTCACAAGGGGAGATAATCAAGAGAAGACAAAAATAGGGTGGGGTCATTAAAAATTCTTCTTCTCAAGAACCACAGAGCCAGTAAACCTGAAACTTATAAGGAAGCATCCTGGGGTAGTGTAGATTCTAAATTGTTCAAATCATGACCCCCGGGGGTAGGGCGGGGCCACAATGTGGAATCAATGTTTTACGTAGAAGTATATAGGAAAAATCTTTAAAAATCTTCTTCTCAAGAACCACTGGGCCAGAAAAGCTGAAACTAATGTGGAAGCATCTTGGGGTAGTGTAGATTCTAAATTGTTAAAATCATGACCCCCGGGGGTAGGGCGGGGCCACAATAGGGAATCCAAGTTTTACATTGAAATATATAGAAACAATCTTTAAAAATCTTCTTCTCAAGAACCACAGGGCCAGAAAAGCTGAAACTAATGTAGAAGTATCCTGGGGTAGTGTAGATATAAATTGTTAAAAGCATGACCCCCGGGGGTAGGGCGGGGCCACAATAGGGAATCCAAGTTTTACATCGAAATATATAGAAAAAAACTTAAAAAATCTTCTTCTCAAGAACCACAGGGCCAAAAAGCTGAAACTAATGTAGAAGTATCCTGGGGTAGTGTAGATTCTAAATTGTTAAAATCATGACCCCTGGGATAGGATGGGACCACAATAGGTGTATTACATGGGGGAAAGTCTGGTGAAGAACAGCAGGGCCAAAGTTACTCAGGTGAGCATTGTGGCCCATGGGCCTCTTGTTAGCTCACCTGAGCTCAAAATTCAAGTGAGCTTTTCTGATCACATTTTGTATGTAGCCCATCTGTCATTCCGTCCCTCTGTCTGTAAACTTTCACATTTTCGACTTCTTCTCTAGAACCACGGGGCCAATTTCAACCAAACAATGGAGGATCAAAGTTACATAGAAATATATAGGAAAAATCTTTAAAAATCTTCTCAAGATTAGCAAAACCCTTATTGGTCATATTTATATGGAAGCATCCTTAGGTAGTGAAGATTCAAGTTTGTTCACATCATGACCCCTTGGAGTGGGGTGGGTCCACAATGGAGGATTAAAGTTTTACATAGAAATGTATAGGAAAAATTTTAAAAATCTTCTCAGGAACAACAAAGCCCTGATTGGTCATATTTATGTGGAAGCATCCTTAGGGTGTAGATTCTATTTTGTTCAAAAAATGAACCCCGGGGGAAGGGTGGGACCACAATGGAGGGTCAGAGTCTTACATAGAAATATATAGGAAAATATCTTCTGAAGAAGAACTGCAAAGCTATGATTATTCATTGTGATATCGAATCATCCTCAGGTAGTGTAGATTCAAGTTTGTTAAAATGATAACCCCCCGGGGATAGGGTTGGGCCACAATGGGGATCGAAAATTTTACATAGAACATATAGGAGAATATTTTCTTCTCAAGAACAGAAAATCATGTTTAGCATTTTGATATGGAAGCATCCTCAATTTTGTTCAAATGATGACCCCCGGGGGGAGGGTGGAGCCACAGTGGGGGATTGAAAGTTACATAAGAACATATAGAAAAAAGAAATGCTTCTCAAGAACAGAAAAGCTATGTTTAGTCATATTGATATGGAAGCATCCTCAGGTAGTGTAGATTTAAGTTTGTTCAAATGATGACCCATGGGATAGGGAGGAGCCACAATGGGAGATCAAATTTTTACAAAGGAATATATGGGAAAATTAAAAAAAAAAATCTCAAGTACAACAAAGCCATTTGTTATATTGACATGGAAGCATATAGTTTGATACTTGGTACTTGGATTTAGACTTCTGATCAATTATGGTTCAAATAGCAGTTATTGAACTTCAGTCATTTTTGTGCTGCAGAATATAAGAGAGTACAACATTTGTTTGGATACATCTTGCTACATGTAAATTGTTGAAAATAAGAAATTAATATTTTGCAGGTAAATTATATATATACATGTATTAAGGATCTACTGAGTACTTTGATTTTGAATTTTGATGTTTGATGGGGGAAAATAGCAGAGGTTGAACATGTTCTATCTTCCAGAGTACTCCTACAATTGTTGATCAATTTTTTATCCCTGAGAAATGAAAACATGGTACCTAAATTTTGATTTTGGATCATCTAGGAGAGGGATATTAGCAGATGAACTGGGTCAATTTTATGCAAAATATCGATTACAGTGCTCATCATTTGACCAATTCTCTCCTCTTATAGTGTTCAGGATAAGACATTTTTAATTCCCCGCTATGAATATGACCTGGGAAAATAGTGTTTGTCATGTTCATCTTCTGTCCTTCCATCCTCCTGTCCTTCTGTTTGTCCTTCCATCGTGCTTTGCGTTTAGGTCAGTTCAAAGCTCATTTTCAAAGAAATTATCTAAGATATTTTAATCAAACTTCATATGCTGATGGATATTGATGAATGCTATGGAACTGCATCAACATTTTTTGACCTTGACCTTTCCTTTGACCTTGACCTCACTTTTCCTAAAGTGGTGTTTAGCTTATTTTTAAAGATACCATTGAAGATATTTTATCAAACTTTATATGCTGATACATACTGATGAGAGCTGTTAAACTGCATCAACATTTTTTGACCTTGACCTTTCCTTTGACCTTGACCTCACTTTTCTTAAATTAGTGTGAAGTAGTTTTAAAGAAACCATTCAGGACAGTGTTTTCAAACTTCTTATGCTGATATATCCTGATAGGAGCTATTCAACTACATCAACATTTTTTTTTTCACCTTTCCTTTGACCTTTGACCTCACTTTTCTTAAATAAGTGTTTAGCTCAGTTTTAAAGAAACCATTCAGGATAGTGTTATCAAACTTCATATGCTGAAACATACTGATGAGAGCTATTCAACTGCATCCACATATTTTTTACCTTGACGTTTCTTTTGACCTTGACGCCCTTTTTTTCTTAAATAATTGTTTAGCTCAGTTTTAAAGAAACCATTCAAGATATTTCAAACTTCATATCCTAATACATAGTAATGAGATCTATTCAACTGCATCATCATTTTTTGACCTTCACCTTTCCTTTCACTTTGACCTCACTTTTCTAAAATTAGTGTTTAGCTCAGTTTTAAAGATACCATTCAGGATAGTATTATCAAACTTCGTATGCTGATACATACTGATGAGAGCTATTCAACTGCATCAAAATTTTTTGACCTTGACCTCACTTTTCTTAAATTTGCATTTTGCTTAATTTTAAAGAAACCATTTAAAATATATTTATGTACGCTTATGACTTATACATAATTTGGTGATAATTTATTATTTATATCCAACTTTTAGAAGATTTCAATTTTAAAGAAACTTCAAGATATTCTCATCAGATTTCATACACTAATACAAATTTTCAAGTTGCATTACTAATATACCCTCAGCAGGGCATTCATGTCCTATGGACATATTTCTAGTTTTTTGCAGATCGATTGTACATACACCAATGATGTACAAGATAGTTGAGTTTTGATTTCAGGTCATTTATAGGGAAAATAGCAGTTGTTGAACTTAATCATTTGTATGTATAATATAGCTTTTACATCATTTTTCAGGATAAGCACTCTAACAGTTTTCAAAATCAGAAGATGTTGTTTGTTTTGCAGATGAGGTTATAAACTTTCATTAAAGATGTGCATGGTGCTCTGATTTTAAATATAGATCATTTTTGGGAAATGAACAGTTGTTGAACTTTATCAGTTTCGATGCCAAATATTGCTTATTTTGGCATATGATATGTCTGGATAATCCCATCAACAGTTTTCAAAGTAAGGAGTTTGTTGTGCAGAGAAATTGTACATATTTATATAAGAGATATGTTTAGTACATTGATTTTGATTTTTGATTAGTAACTGGGAAAATACCAGATGTTTGTGCAAAATATTTCTTATAGGGTATTTTATCCTACAGTTTTTGGGATAGGATTTTTTTAATGTGCAAATCAGTTGTACATTTGGAAGAGAGTTGATAAGTGTTTGGACTTTGTTTTGGATCGTTTGTGACAAATATACTAGTTGTTGGTATTTTTGATTTTTATGTCAACTCTTGCAGAAAGGGTTCATTTTATTTGTCCAGAAAGCTCCTACATATCTAAACCTAAGGACTTTTTTCCTGAATGTTTTTACATCATTGATATTCATGGCACCTTGGTTTGGTTTTTGGTCATTTATGAAAAAGATACAAACTGTTGAACATGTCAATTTGATGTAAAATATTACTTTAAGGGTACAACATTTCTTTAGACAATACCTTCTTCAGTTTCTGCTAAAAGAAATCCCATGAAAGGGAATATAGGTTTCTAATTGATCAAGTCTAATGAACATACAGCAGAGATGCCAATATGCTTGGAGTTTGATTTTTGGTCATTGATAAGAAAATACCATGTGATAAATTTAGCCATTTAATGTGTTATATTGCTTACAAGTGTACATGATTTTTCCAGAAAACTCCTTCAACAGTTTTAAAGATATCATTTATTTTTATTTTGCAGATCAAAGAAACATACATGGGAAATGAATATGATGCTTCGACTTTGATTTTTGATCATCTATAAAGGTACCAGTTGTTAAAATTAGTCACATCATTTTGATGCAAAATATTGCATACTGGGTTCAACATTTGTTCGGATAACTTCTGCAGCAGTTTTTACAATAAGAAGTTTTTGGTTTGCAGATCAAAAGTACATACATTAAGTATTTGCGTAGTACTTGGATTTAGACTACTGATCATTTATGCTTCAAATAGCAGTTATTGAACTTCAGTCATTTTTGTGCTGCAGAATATAAGAGAGTACAACATTTGTTTGGATACATCTTGCTAAATTGTTGAAAATAAGAAATTAATATTTTGCAGGTAAATTGTACATTACATGTATTAGGGATCTATTGGTTACATTAATTTTGAATTCTAATGTGTGATAGGGGAAAATAGCAGTGGTTGAATCTGTTCATTTTTCCAGAGTACTCCTACAATTGGGGATCAATTATCTATCCCTGAAAAATGAACTTGGTACCTAAATTTTGACTTTTGATCATTTAGGAGAGGGATATTAGCAGATGAACTGGGTGAATTGTATGCAAAGTATTGATTACGGTGCTCATCATTTATCCAGTTCTCTTCTCTTATAGTGTTCAGGATAAGAGGTTTTTTTATACAGATCAATTGTACATACACTAATGATGTACAAGATAGTTGAGTTTTGATTTCAGATCATTTATAGGGAAAATAGCAGTTGTTGAACTTAGTCATTTGTATGTATAATGTAGCTTTTACATCGTTTTTCAGGATAAGCACTCTAACAGTTTTCAAAGTCAGAAGATGTTGTTTTGCAGATGAGGTTATAAACTTTCATTAAAGATATGCATGGTGCTCTGATTTTGAATTTAGATCATTTTTGGGAAATGAACAGTTGTTTAACTTCATCAGTTTGGGTGCCAAATATTGCTTATTTTGGCATATGATATATCTGGATAATCCCATCAACAGTTTTCAAAGTAAGGAGTTTGTTGTGCAGAGAAGTTGTACATATTTATATAAGAGATATGTTTAGTACATTGATTTTGATTTTTGATTAGTGACTTGGAAAATACCAGATGTTTGTGCAAAATATTTCTTATAGGGTATTTTATCCTACAGTTTTTGGGATATGATTTTTTTAATGTGCAAATCAGTTGTACATTTGGAAGAGAGTTGATAAGTGTTTGGACTTTGTTTTGGATCGTTTATGACAAATATACTAGTTGTTGGTATTTTTGATTTTTATGTCAACTCTTGCAGAAAGGGTTCATTTTATTTGTCCAGAAAGCTCCTACATATCTAAACCTAAGGACTTTTTTCCTGAATGTTTTTACATCATTGATATTCATGGCACCTTGGTTTGATTTTTGGTCATTTATGAAAAAGATACAAACTGTTGAACATGTCAATTTGATGTAAAATATTGCTTTAAGAGTACAACATTTCTGTAGGCAATACCTTCTTCAGTTTTCTGCTAAAAGAAATCCCATGAAAGGGAATATAGGTTTCTAATTGATCAAGTCTAATGAACATACAGCAGAGATGCCAATATGCTTGGAGTTTGATTTTTGGTCATTGATAAGAAAATACCATGTGATAAATTTAGCCATTTAATGTGTTATATTGCTTACAAGTGTACATGATTTTTCCAGACAACTCCTTCAACAGTTTTAAAGATATCATTTATTTTTATTTTGCAGATCAAAGAAACATACATGGGAAATGAATATGATGCTTCGACTTTGATTTTTGATCATCTATAAAGGTACCAGTTGTTAAAATTAGTCACATCATTTTGATGCAAAATATTGCATACTGGGTTCAACATTTGTTCGGATAACTTCTGCAGCAGTTTTTACAATAAGAAGTTTTTGGTTTGCAGATCAAAAGTACATACATTAAGTATTTGCGTAGTACTTGGATTTAGACTACTGATCATTTATGCTTCAAATAGCAGTTATTGAACTTCAGTCATTTTTGTGCTGCAGAATATAAGAGAGTACAACATTTGTTTGGATACATCTTGCTAAATTGTTGAAAATAAGAAATTAATATTTTGCAGGTAAATTGTACATTACATGTATTAGGGATCTATTGGTTACATTAATTTTGAATTCTAATGTGTGATAGGGGAAAATAGCAGTGGTTGAATCTGTTCATTTTTCCAGAGTACTCCTACAATTGGGGATCAATTATCTATCCCTGAAAATGAACTTGGTACCTAAATTTTGACTTTTGATCATTTAGGAGAGGGATATTAGCAGATGAACTGGGTGAATTGTATGCAAAGTATTGATTACGGTGCTCATCATTTATCCAGTTCTCTTCTCTTATAGTGTTCAGGATAAGAGGTTTTTTTATACAGATCAATTGTACATACACTAATGATGTACAAGATAGTTGAGTTTTGATTTCAGATCATTTATAGGGAAAATAGCAGTTGTTGAACTTAGTCATTTGTATGTATAATGTAGCTTTTACATCGTTTTTCAGGATAAGCACTCTAACAGTTTTCAAAGTCAGAAGATGTTGTTTTGCAGATGAGGTTATAAACTTTCATTAAAGATATGCATGGTGCTCTGATTTTGAATTTAGATCATTTTTGGGAAATGAACAGTTGTTTAACTTCATCAGTTTGGGTGCCAAATATTGCTTATTTTGGCATATCATATGTCTGGATAATCCCATCAACAGTTTTCAAAGTAAGGAGTTTGTTGTGCAGAGAAGTTGTACATATTTATATAAGAGATATGTTTAGTGCATTGATTTTGATTTTTGATTAGTGTTTTGGATCATTTATGACAAGAATATTTTTTATGCCAATTATTGCATACAGGGTTCTTTTTAGCTCACCTGAGCTGAAAGCTCAAGTGAGCTTTTCTGATCACATTTTGTCCGGTGTCCCTCTGTCTGTCCGTCTGTCTGTCCGTCTGTCTGTCTGTAAACTTTTCACATTTTCGACTTCTTCTCAAGAACCACTGGGCCAATTTCAACAAAACTTGCCACAAAGTATCCTTTGGTAAAGGGGATTTAAGTTTGTTAAAATGAAGGGCCAAGCCCTCTTTCAAGGGAAGATAATTAGGAATTACTGAAAAAATAATGGAATCATTTAAAAATCTTCTTCTCAAGAACCATAGGGCCAGGAGAGATGAAACTCATGTGGAAGCATCCTCAGGTAGTGTAGATTCAAGTTTGTTCAAATCATGACCCCCGAGGGTAGGGCTGGGTCACAATGGAGGATCAAAATTTTACATAGAAATATATAGGAAAAATCTTTAAAAATCTTCTTCTCAAGAACAGCAAAGCCATGATGAGTCATATTTATATGGAAGCATCCTCAGGTAGTGTAGATTCAAGTTTGTTAAAACCATGACCCCCAGGGATAGGGCGGGCCAGCAATGGAGGATCAAAGTTTTACATAGAAATATATAGGAAAAATCTTTAAAAATCTTCTTCTCAAGAACAGCAAAGCCATGATGAGTCAAATTCATGTGGAAGCATTCTCAGGTAGTGTAGATTCAAGTTTGTTCAAATCATGACCCCCGGGGGTAGGGCGGGGCCACAATGGAGGATCAAAGTTTTACATAGAAGTATATAGGAAAAATCTTTAAAAATCTTCTCAAGAACAGCAAAGCCATGATGAATCATATTTATGTGGAAGCATCCTCAGGTAGTGTAGATTCAAGTTTGTTCAAACCATGACCCCTGGGGGTAGGGCGGGGCCGCAATGGAGGATCAAAGTTTTACATAGAAATATAAAGGAAAAATCTTTAAAAATCTTCTTCTCAAGAACAGCAAAGCCATGATGAATCATATTTATAGGGAAGCATCCTCAGGTAGTGTAGATTCAAGTTTGTTAAAGCCAGGATCCCCCTGGGGGTAGGGCGGGGCCACAATGGAGGATCAAAGTTTTACATAGAAACATATACGAAAAATCTTTGAAAGTCTTCTTCTTAAGAACAGCAAAACCACGATGAGTCATATTTATAGGGAAGCATCCTCAGGTAGTGTAGATTCAAGTTTGTTCAAACCATGACCCCAAGGGGTAGGGCGGGGCCGCAATGGAGGATCAAAGTTTTACATAGAAATATAAAGGAAAAATCTTTAAAAATCTTCTTCTCAAGAACAGCAAAGCCATGATGAGTCATATTTATATGGAAGCATCCTCAGGTAGTGTAGATTCAAATTTGTTAAAACCATGACCCCCGGGGGTAGGACGGGGCCACAATGGAGGATCAAAGTTTTACATAGAAATATATAGGAAAAATCTTTAAAAATCTTCTTCTCAAGAACAGCAAAGCCATGATGAATCATATTTATAGGGAAGCATCCTCAGGTAGTGTAGATTCAAGTTTGTTAAAGCCAGGATCCCCCTGGGGGTAGGGCGGGGCCACAATGGAGGATCAAAGTTTTACATAGAAATATATAGGAAAAATCTTTAAAAATCTTCTTCTCAAGAACAGTAAAGCCATGATGAGTCATATTTATATGGAAGCATCCTCAGGTAGTGTAGATTCAAGTTTGTTCAAACCATGACCCCAAGGGGTAGGGCGGGGCCACAATGGAGGATCAAAGTTTTACATAGAAATATAAAGGAAAAATCTTTAAAAATCTTCTTCTCAATAACAGGAAAGCCATGATGAGTCAAATTTATATGGACACATCCTCAGGTAGTGTAGATTCAAGTTTGTTCAAACCATGTCCCCTGGGTGTAGGGCGGGGCCACAATGGAGGATCAACGTTTTACATAGAAATATATAGGAAAATTTCTTCTTCTGAAGAACTGCAAACCATTATTAGTCATTTTGATATGGAAGCATCCTTAGGTAGTATAGATTCTATTTTGTTCAAATGATGACCCGCAGGGGTAGGGTGGGGCCCAATGGGGGATGGAAAGTTTTACATAAGAACATATCGAAGAAATATTTCTTCTCAAGAACAGTAAAGCTATGTTTAGTCATATTGATATGGAAGCATCCTCAGGTAGTGTAGATTCAAGTTTGTTCAAATGATGACTCCTGGGATAGGGAGGAGCCACAATGGGGGATCAAATTTTTAGAAAGGAATATATGGGAAATTTTTTAAAATCTTCTCAAGTACAACAAAGCCATTTGTTACATTGACATGGAAGCATCATCAGGTAGTTTAAAATTCAAGCCCCCCCCCCGGTCTTTTCAATACTGAACTGATTTGTGCTTTTGCCTAGCCAATGTGCTCAGGTGAGCGATGTGGCCCATGGGCCTCTTGTTATTAGCTCTTCTTATCCAAAGGCTCAAAGAGTTAATGCTATGGCCATTTGTTGGGTGTGCTTAAACTTTTTAGAATATGGGCCATAACTCAAGAACCCCTTGGCCAATTATTGTGAAATTTGTCACAGGGTATCCTTGGCGCAAGGACTCCCTATTGTACTAAAACTAGGGTTGTGACCCTTAAGCAAGGGGAGATAATTAAGAAAATGGAAACAAAAGTACTGGTTGCTAAAAAATCTTCTCCAGATCTACTGGGCAGATTATCACCAAACTTATACAAAAGGATGAGGATATGTTGTAGATTAAAAATTGTTCAAGGCATCACCCTGGGGCAAAGGGCGTGGTCTCAAGGTCACTTCAAAGTTGACGAAAAATTACATTTTTTTAAAATGTTGATATTTTTGCTTACTATAAGGACTAGGATCATCAAATCTTGTTAGTTGATGCATCTAAGGACCTCATATCATGTTGACTTAAAAGTAAGTCACAGTGGCCTACTTTTTAAATTTTGCAGCCATTCTTTATCAAAATGATTTAGAGGCATATTTTGAACAATTTAAGGCCTATGATCATCAAACTTTGTCAGTTGATGTATATTTGGTCATCGAAGTACGTCAACTAAAAAGTATTTCAGCTTGACCTATTTTTTTGAATTTTATGGTTAATCTTTTACAAAACAATTCAGGTCAATAATTTGATTATTGAGAGGTTCAGAAACATGGAATCTTGCAAGATGATGCATCTTGGGGCCATAAAACATATGTATTAAAAAGTAGGTCACAGTGACCTACTTTTTGAACTTTGCAGGCATGCGATTTCAAAGCATTTAAGAGGCATAATTTGGACATTTTAAGGCCTTTGATCATAAAACTTTGTAAGTTGATGTATCTTAGGTCATCGCAGTAGGTCGACTGAAAAGTAGACTATCGTGATCTACTTTTCAATTTATATGACTATAATTAAATATTGCAAGTACTAATTGGCTTAGAATCATCAAACTTTGTCAGTTGATGCATCTTGGGTCTTCGGAGTAAATCGACTGAAAAATAGGTCACCATGACCTACTTTTGAAAATTTATGGCTTTAATAATATATTTCAGAAACCAGTTTGCTTAGAATCATCAAACTTTGTCAGTTGATGCATCTTGGGTCCTTGGAGTACGACAACTGAAAAGTAGGTCACCCTGACCTACTTTTGAAATTTTATGGCTGTATTTAATATTTTTGGTGTACTATACGGATTTGAATCATCAAATAGAAGTGATACCGTAGGTTGTACAGTTTATTAGAAGAGCGATTCAAGGCCCTTGGGCCTCTTGTTTGTCTAGATAGCTCCTACATATCTAAACCTAAGAACTTTTTCCTGAATGTTTTTATATCAATGATATGCATATCCCCCCATGGCACCTTGGTTTGGTTTTAGGTCACATATGTAAAAGATACAAACTGTTGAACATGTCAATTTGATGCAAAATATTATTTTTAGGGTACAACAATTCTGCAGATAATTTCTCCT